AAGTATACGTAATATCTCTATTAACGTTAGGACTTATAATAATATAAAGAATTACATTACATCTATATAAAATCTCAACACTCCTTTCTTAAAGGTAGAGTCTAGAAAGACATATATGACTTGTATTGCATGACTGTAATGTTGATTATTTCCGAGTAAACGTCCATTCATCAAAACCGAGGTTAGCATTCTCTGCTTTCCACCCCTTGGCACTTAATTCTTTGGCAAACGTCTCAAATTCTTTGGTCTTGACTTCTCTTTTGGAGGCAAGAACTTCAATGTCGAAAACGGCGTTCAGAGGAGAAAGATTTGGCGAACCGTCGTTTAGGGCAACCCAACCAATGTTCCTTTGTGTATCGTAAAGCAAAATGTAGTAGTCACAAACACGAAGTTGTGCAGAAGGAACTCTAGAAGATTCCATAGAGATTTGGAAACTATTTGAAGAGTGATTTACCTTTTCTGATATGACAACAAATCGCGCAATGGACAACCAAGGTATCGTGTTCCAAATCCATAAAAGAGTGGTTCCGCTTCGTTGCATTCTTGGATGGATGGGATAGAATTTAGAGACAACCAAGATCTGGAAAAAGGATATTAGTGGAAGAAAATAATTTTAAAAAAGTAATGGGAATTAAGATGATGTTCATTCAGAAAACCTGATAAGGATGGTAGCTCTCTTAAGATTCAGCGTTTCCATATTCAAGGCACGAACTGCACGATAGTTTGCATACAAATGTACAGCAGTGAATACCTAAACAGTGATGTTAACAACTATTGATGTTTTGATTTAATGATTTTTTTAAAGCATATGACTTCAACTGTATAGATTCCAATTTCCTTGTCTTCGTTTAATCTTCCACTACTTGTTTATCTTAAGAACAATGAAATGGATTAGGTGACAGCCTCATACCATCACAATGGCCAGCACTGCGCATCATCTTGAAAGTTATCTCCTCGTTTAGATATACCGCATAGTCGTCACAATGACAAAATCTCAAAAACTCCTTTACATGACTAAGATATTGCAGTTTTCGACTTTTCTGCACTCGGCAACATGAAACACAACACATCCACGGAACCTTATACAAAATATGATCAGATATGAAGTTTTGAGATGAAGTGTGTTGTAAAATGAAATTCAGTTTCAAAGATGCAATTTCCGCATTATAATGGATAATCACAAAAAATATATTGGCTACCCTGTCATAAAATTACAAATTTGAAATTTTCTTATGTCAGTGATTATAAACCAACCATAAAAAGAAACCAGATAAGCGTGTGGTGCCCACTGACAAGAGGTAGCATGATCAGCGATGCAATAAGAGCTGTTACATTAACCATAGTTTCCTGACTTCCGTCCTTGGAAGCAACGTCAGCGAGGTTGTTTCGACGAGCCTAAAGATGTTTGTATTAAGAGGAAATGATTTCAGTTGTAGAGCGAGGATAAGCTTAAAGCCTTACTTGATGCTGTGTTATGGCAGTTCTAGTAGCTCCTCCCGCAACACCAACAACACAGCGAAGAAGCGATGAAGTACAGGCACAAACGAAAAAGCAACCAGAGAAG